CTCCAGTGCTAAGGAAACTCTCCCTCTGTGATCTGGTCTGCTTTAGTCAGTCCAGCCTTCTTCTCTCGTACCCTACCACAATGAATTCTCTCCTACCTCCCTAGCCCCTGTTCCCTAGTCTCAGTGTTACCAACTTCCCTCTCTTCAGTTCAGATGCAGGTACATCTCCCTCAGGGCCCTTGCCTGGCATGAGTTCAGTGTCTCACTTGTGTTCCCACAGAACCCTTTTTCCATGGCCTCTGTCCTCAGTAGAGTCACTATCTCCTCTGTACTATGAGCCCTGGCAGGTCGTATTCGCCCATTATGCCCGGCCTTCAGCACACAGAGGGCTTTCTATACTGAGGGAGCACACTCACTGCAAGAATATTTCCCATGGTGTATGTGTATGTCAGTTTCAGTTCTTTCTCACAATGCAAATAATTTGGAGAAAATTAATCTGAACCATTTTCATGCTTCTCTTTTCCACAGGCATCTCTGTAAATATTTTCTGCCTGATTTTCTTACTCAAAATGAAGTCTATGGACAGGCAGGATCCAAAACTACCATAGATATATATTCAACTGGAACTGCATTTTACCCAGACCGCTCAGTGATTCATGTGCCTATTCAGGTTTGAGAAACACTGCCCTGAAGGGCACTACCCTTTCTTCCTCACAATGGCCTCATGGCTGAAATGGTGGAACATTTGATAATTTGATGCACGTGGAGAACCACTCAAAACCCAAAGAATAGGAAGAAAGTGTATCAATTATGTAGTTGCATCTCCTTTCACTTTTATTTTAAATAGGATGCCTCATTGTGAAGCAAAGGGAACAGCAGTTGGCCTAATCCATGGGGAACTCTTCCAATGGTGTTGGATGAATCCTGCACAGGGAGGTATAATTGGTTGCTGTAAATCATGCTCTAGGATGAGGTGAACACTGCTCCTGCCAGTTCCCAAGGGTGCTCCATGCCTGCAGTTCTCTGCTCCACAAATGGGTGCAGATCTTGCTGCATGTGCTCATACCACACGCAGGCCAGGCTGGCATGGTTTTACCAGATGTCAAGAGAAAAACACACAGAGAAGATGGCAATCCAGACACCTGGCAGGAAAGGTAGGACACAAGCCTATATTCCCCATGTGGTCTCCGACAGGTGTACCTCTCTCCTGCTTCCTAGTATAATCTTTCATCTCCATGATTTACAAGTGTCTCTAAGCACACCATGAACTCTCAAAGCTCAGGACAAAGCAAAGACGTGGTTTGTGCTTTGAGCCCCTTCATCTCCCCATCCAGATGCAAATGGGAGTGTTCCCTTCAGCACAGTTCCACCTAACCCTCAAGAGTGAGCTGAACCTTACTGCCTGTTCAGAATTACGTACGATCTCAGAATATGGAAGAGTAGACAAAACTCATGTAAGAGCAAGATATACAAACCCAGCATGCTGGACTCATTTTGGATACAAAACCTTTCATCTTCCTCTTGCTTCCAGCTTAACTCTTGGAAACCAATCCTCTGCCTACTGGTGACTGGTGCTAGCTAGCAAGTAAGCTTTTGGTTTATACTTAACTGGTAATGTCAGAGGCTGAGAGCAGTACTGCTCTGTCCTCCGGGAGCCCATATCCTTTCTGTGGCATCACTGTAGTCCAGGAGCAGGTTCCTGTAGGCCCTGGGGAGGAAGGCTCTGGCTGTGAGCAGGGCTCTTGCTACAGAAGCTGCTGCAGCAAAGCCTGGGTGAGGTGCGGACTGAGTGTTTTCTGAGGGAGACAGGAGGCTCCTGGACATGATGGATTGCTTTCACTGTACTACAGTCCCCACCTGCCTGAAGGGAAATGATTTCAAACAGGTACAAGAATTCAAACTGCCAAACTGTTGTCTTGGTGACTTGCATTGCTTGTGAGAAGTCACCTTGGGAGGGCTCTCTGTTCTATGGAGGAACTACAGGGAATCTCATCTGGAATATCCATGCTGACCCTCTCAGCTGGGTCTGAGGGCTTGAGAGTCATTTACCCTGTGCTCAGATCTCAGCCATCCACCTGCCCTACCCTCGACCTCTCTAATCTTACTTCCCACATCTCCCCAGTCACAAACCTGACTACAGCCAGACACCTTTCCTCATACTGTTCTCTGGGTCCTTAAATGGCCTCCTCTCTTAATATTCCTCTCCCACTTACAAGATGCAGGATTTATTCCACATCCACTCCAAGAAAGCCCTTGCTTCAACGGCACCTGCTGGTCTCTCACAGCAAGGGTCATCCTGCCTCATATGCAGGTAGCAAAGAAGCAGGTAAGCCACGGCTCATTCTGGTTCTGTATACAAAGCTGGGAGAAGGGAACAAACCTGAGACACACATCTGGGTCCAGGTATGGTGAGTTCTTCCCCAGAAAAAGCTATACTTCCAGCTAAGAGGGTGCATGCCAACCACACGTAGGAACAAGAGCAACACCAGGATAGGAGAGTTAGAGCTGAAGGTGCCTAAGTGGAGGGATAAAGTAGACCAGTGTTCTGGAAAGAGGAGAGAAGGTTCCTCTCCAGCTCTGGAGTCTTGAAACATAAATGGCAAGAAATCACTGACTATTGCTATGTGAATCAGAGAGCCTGAAGGGCCTCACACCTGAAAGCCTGCTTACACAATGGCTGGGGAGGGACTTACTGATTGCCTACAGGGGTAAGATAGAGGGGAAGGGTCTCAGCGCTGATCCACTGGCAGCTTTTGCCACCACAGCCTGGCCAGCTAGAGCAAGGAAGCCACCATGGAGTAGTGGATTCTGATGTTGCACATGCTTAAATCACTCTACTTGACATGATGCAGTGCATTTTCACTTTCTTCTTTTCCTTGTTCCACAGAAAGGTATATTTTTAAAAACACGGTGTCACTGCTCATTCATGTATTGTTCAGTATCACCCGTGCCTGCATCATGTCTGATCCTGTGCTGGACACTCACGGGCACGGGCCCACTATCAGGAGCCACCCACGGATGGCACTGGACACCGTAGAGGAAGTACTCAGTAAGTTCTTCACACTAAGAATTAATGTTAAGGCCAGGGCTCTTCTTTGAATACATTTAATGTTACATTCACATAGATCTACAAGCATATATTCTGTAAGGAAATTACATTTAAATATGTAAACATGCAATCCCAAATCTGTAGGTGGCTCAGTTGCCAAAGATTGAAAAAAATGGGATTGTTCTCTAGATTATGGCTTTGTCTTTTGCTTTCTCCACTTAAAATTCCACTGTGAGCACGTTCCATGCTTAGAAAGCATACATATCATTCTAAGCCTTTTCTTCAAAGGCCAGACTTTACTGCTTATTCTTTTAAGTTAAAATAAAGCAACATGAATTTTTCTTTATTCCGCTAGCTTTCCCTGCATTCATTCACTCATTCAGCGACGACTCTTTAGCACTTCCCCTTTGGTGTCAGGTATATGGCAAGCCAGAGAAATTTAGTGGTGAATAAGACAGAAATCTGCCTTCTGGATCCTTAGGTCTTGTGAAGGATAAGTCAGGAAGGAAGACTTTGAAAGCTTCCTGGTGAGTGGAGGGATTCCAGGTAGCTCCTCAGACACAGGTGCCTTGCTTTGTACTTGATGAGCCTGGCCCTGATATACTGGATTAGGAATGAGAGCCTGACCAGGGACCCTAGGGTGGCCTGCCTGATAAGAATGTGGCTGACTCTCATGGACTCTTTCTAGGGTAATTTAAGTGAGTGAGGTGGGTGTAGGGAAGGGGATAGGAAAGGAGAGGAGAGGAGAGAATATGAACAAGGGGCTTTCAAACTTAAAGACACTTCGAGAGAAGACAATAAGCAAAAAACACAGGGGACAGCTACACAAAGCACCGTGAGCTAAGGAGAGTTAAGAGTAAGCAGCAGTGCATCATCATGACATGCAGAGGAGATGAGTAGTCTGCCACAAAAACAAAGGCACAGAGATAACCACTAATGTCTCTGTTCAGCCACCAGACCCTATAGTGTTGTTTTTGTCCATGAGCCCGCTCACAGAACAAAGGTTTAGGAACTCGGACTGGGAAGGCAAGGTGCAGAATCACCAAGCAGACTCTGGGGAGGTTTCTGGAACTCTTTCACTTTTAATAAGTTCAGCCAGAAATTTCTAAAGTTTTGAAAGAGGGAGTGGCAAAGGGGGAGTAATAGATTTGGCTTAACAGGATTAGTTATCGGAGTGTCCTTGGACGAGGTGATGGAGGCATCCAACTAGGGGGGGCGGGTGAAGCCATACCTGGACATAGACAAGGATCAACGCATGAACTAGGCCTCTACTAGTGGGCTAGGAGACATACGTGTGGTGCACTTGTCTCAGCCAGACTTGTACCTTGCCTATACTCTAGCGTAACCACTGGAGCCATTATTATTCCAAAGACCACCCAATTCTCTGCACAAGCTGTCTATGCAATTGTGTCTGCCTTCCTTACCTACCCTCAGATCAACAGCAGACTCTGCCAACTAAGCGTGACTTGAAGCCATTCTGTCTTTGAATCCTAAAAGATCTAAACAGATGGGGAAACTCCATCACCGCTGAAAGCCATTGTTTCTCTGTTCCCAGAGTCAACCTTTTCAAACTCCCCAACCTAGAGGCTAGATTCTGGATGTCCCACCTCCGCTGGTACATAATCTGTTTGAGCACAAGAAACACAATGACTGTCCCCAGATGTTGGGCTGTGGTTTGAAATGCATCAACTAGGATGAGCACCCTTGGAAGAAGTAAATAGAGTCACTGGCAAATTCTCCTTAGCATTGTGGCATAATTACTACTAATTCAAAGACATCATGAGATTTGAGAAAGGGAGCACTGATGTTAGACTAGTTGCCTCTGACATTCTCAACTATGAAATGGGGATGATATATCAACAAGAGTTGTGAACAAACAGGTATGATATTTCTTGCAGCAAAATGACTAACTTTAAAGATTCCTCTGGTTGAGGATTTGCAGACATTCCCAGCGGCCTGTACACACAGAGACAAGGGCTGCCTTCCCACAAGACAGATAAAGGCAGCGTACCTTGCCATCCAGGCTTGCAAACAGGTTTCACGTCCACCTGCACCAGGGTGTCCTGAGCAGCAGGTTTCTGTCCACAGTCATAGGCTGTCACCAGGATCTCATACTGGCGCTGCCTGTCGTAGCTCAGCTTCTCAGTGTTTCTGATGTTGCCTGAGGAAGAGAGGCATTAAGAATCATTTCAAGTTGAGTTACTTTTTTCAAAAGCCCTTCTCTACTGCATCACCTTTGTAAGGATGAAATGCCCTCTCTCTCTCTCTCTCTCTCTCTGGAAAAAACAAGGGCGAAAAGGAGTACAGCATCTACCTGTGACCTGCTTACACTTTAGTGGTCGATTCCTGGACCACTTGCAGGAGCAACCTCGCTGTACAATGGGCTGATGGGAATTCTGAGCAACATCTGGAATCCAAATGACCTGTGCTTATAAGAAATGTGTTTTCAAGAAACTCCTTCCAAAAATGCACTCATGTACTCATGTCCCTGATGTAGGGGACAGAGAGCTCACCTGTTGTGAAATTTCTGGGAAAAAGACAGGATTCAAAAAATGCTCTGATACACATTTTTTAACATCTGGGCCTGTCGCCAGGAATGTTCACTGCCTTTTCTCACATTATTTTGCTAACAAATAGCAAGTTAAATCAATAAGAAAATATGTGATTTCCCTTCCAAAAACTACACTGAGTAACAGATTTCTTGCCCTGAGGAAGAAGGCATTTTTCTTTTCCAGAAAAGAACAAACAATTTTTCAGAGCCCTTTTTATATGTTTTTGTTCCTGTGGGTTTGATATAATTCATAAACAAATATTTGCTAATTAATGAGCAAAATATTGTCTATTTTTCCCAGAATACAATATCGATTTCAAAGAATGAATAAAGACCCAAAGTTCACTTAATACTTTAAGTTTTTTATTCCAAGAGATTAAAGTCTTTCTTTGCTGAAATAATTTCATCCCTTCTTTATGTAATTATTTTTGATGGTGGAATTGACAGAAAATTAAAACCCAAGTGTTATCATCTTATAACAAATGAAATTAAGAGAATGGAAAATAAAAACATAAAAAGATCAATAAAAATCAACATTGTATAAGAATTATAAACTCAGATATATTTTCATATTTTATCAAAAGAAAAAGATTAACTGAATGAATTTACTTCCATTCCAACTAATATATACATTGTTCATATAATTTAAGACAGTGTGAACTAAACAAAACTGTTTGGAAAACTGGAAAAGCAAATAGTGCTCTAAACATTGGAAAAGCTAGTGTTACTGAAACAGTACCCAATGCTGGCAGACAAACAGGAGCTACAGACAGGAATGTGTCAGGGTGACGTTCAGTCTGGTTAACAGTAAGGTCAGAATACAAAGTCAGCCAAGACATCCAACCAAAAACTAGATTAATCTACACTGCTGTCTGTTCTGGACCATTTCTAGGAATGCAACTAACATCTATTGATCTGAGGTAGCATTTAACTTCAACCAAGTCAGACAAAATTCTCTGAATAAAAATAGGTTTTATATATTTCTGGCTTTGTCTCTGGTGTTTAAAATCTCTTTCATTTCATCCTAATATTTGTTTTCTTCTCAGTCCAAGGCTTGGAACTGGGTTGGTAACACTCTCCAGGGATTGTGTTAAGAAACTTGCTTGTGGTTATAGTCAACACAGGGGAGGAATTTTTTCAGGGCAAAGCACTTTAATATAACCACAAGAAGTATGCTCCAGCAACATCAAATTGAATTTTGAACAAAAAGTTTGAACTTTCTCTTTCTTGAAAGTTGAATGGCTCTCAAAAGATCCCCCTCTCAGAAGAGGAAAGCTCAGGTTCACAATCCATGTGACAATAAGTAGACCAAACACTATTGACTGTGGTAGGAAAACACACAAACTGAATCTTTGGCTCAATTTGTTGCAGCTCCACTTCCATAACAAGTCTTAATGAAACTGACTGAGAAACTAATTTACTTTCTCCACCACTACCAACTTCATGCACATGAAAATAGATTTCAAAGCACAGAACTTGAAGCATTAGGTCTGAAATAGGAGTATAATATTGTGAACAGTTGTTTGTGGGAAAGGGTCATGTTTGTATAAGACACTTACTTAAAATCGTTTGAAAGCCCGAGAAAGCCATCTCTTTTGTTTCTGCTGCACTTACATCTTCTTCTCCTACATGTAAATGTACCTTCTCAAGAGAGCTGAGCCTATAGTCAACTTCGGTGAGCCACAGCCTGGTTCCCAGGCCTCTATGGCCAGGTCCAAATGATATCTGGGAAACTAATCCTTGTAGAACAATCAGTACCTACCTCGCATAGCCATGAAGGTTTGTGTTTTTCTTTTAACCCTGGGAGCATGGGAGGGAGTGGGAGAGAGGAGGTAAGTACACTGACCAACACCCTCTTTCTGGTGTGATTTGAATGGGAACGTTCTGGCTCCTTGGCAATCTATGTTAGTCTCTTTGAAATTGCTTTTCAGATACAATTCCTCGTCTAAACACTGATTCAGGAAATGATATAAACTGCAACTGAATAGTAGCTGTTCAAACGTGTCCATCTAAGCGTTATAAAAGCATTGAAATAGAGCCTGGTAATAAGAAGAGGTAAATATAGAATGTTAATATTAAGACAAAATATTGTTCGTCACTAAAATGGGGATTATGAAATTATTCTGAAATGGGGAAAATACATTTAATTGAATTTTAAGTGAAAAGGGGGAAGAAAAAGAAAACAAGGTAGTGTGGTCTTAATTTTATTTAGAACTTTCATAGAAAACATATTGGAAATATGATAAACACTTAATAGTGGTTATCTTTGGCAGGATGTTGGGTGATTTGCTTCCTTCTCCATAATTTTCTGTGCTCTCCAAAGTTCACACACAGGGCTTGTCTTACTTTTCTATTCAGGTAGGAAAGAAGAAGAAACAGAATAATTTCATAATCCCCATTTTGCTCAGTCTTTCTGCTCCCCAGGTCAGGCTTCTGACACAGAGTAACTGGCTGAGACTAGGAGCTTAGCCAGTGAGTCTTTGTGAAGGTGAAACATTATTTGAAAACTACAAAAATCTGCCAAGTGGTAACCGGGTGTCACTGTGTCACCACGAACCCTGCTGTTCCCTCTGCTGACATTCCCTCTCACGGTGGCTTGTGCAACACACTCTAGTGAGCCCACTGTTTGTATTAGTTTAGGTACCAATGATACCACACAGGTACAATACTTCATTCTTATTTTGTTGATGATCTGAAACAAGCTTCAAGTAATTTTCAAAGACCATGCACACACAGAGTGATAGATGCAGGTTTAAACAAACCTTGTAGGTTTTCTTCCCTATGTTTATTGAGGTGCGATTGACAGATAAAAATTGTACATACAATGTGTGTAAGGTTGTGGTATTTTAATCTAAATGTGTGCTAGGCTGTACTATAAAGACTGCTAAGATAAAACTATTTAGTCATATGTATCTTCTCACAGTTTCGTGCATGTGTGTGTGTGTGTGTGTGTGTGTGTGTGTGTTGTATGTTATAAGAATACTTGGGATCTATTCTCAGCAAATTTCAAATGTGCGTTGTCATCCAGTCACCATATTTTTATTAGGTAGCCCACACTTATTCATTTTTTAATCTGAATGCACCCTTTCACTAATATCTCCCCTTTTTTCTCACCCTCAAATTCTTGCTAACCATATAAAATATGCTATTTTATATTAGCATGAGTTCAAACTTTCTTTGTGGATCCATGTATAATTGAATCTATGAAGCTCCTGTCTTTCAGTGTCTGACTTATTTCACTAAATATACCCTCCTTCAGATTTGTTCATTGTGTTGCAAATGGCAGAATTTCCTTTGCTTTAGGCCTGAGTAGCAGTGCTTTCTTCTCTGTGTGTATATATGTGTATCCTCCCATGTTTTTTTGTATCTACTTATCTGTCTGTGGCCACTTAGCTTGTTTCCACGTCTTGGCTGTTATGAATTATGCTACAGAGATTATGGGAGCACAGATATCTCTTCAAGGTAGACATTTTATTTCCTGGGCATAAATGCTCAGTAGTGAAATTGCTAGGTCATTTATATATTAGCTCTATTTTTAAGTTTTCAAGGAACTTTCATATTTTCTCCCATAGTAGCTATAGCAATTTACATCCCAAATAACAGTGAACAAGGGCTCCCCTTTCTCCACATCCTATCAGTACGTGCTATCTGCTGGCCATCCTAAGAGTTGTGATATTTCATTGAGGTTGATTTGTATTTCACTGATGGTTAATAATGTTGAGGATTACTTCTATACCTGTTGACCATCTGTACGTCTTCTTTGAAAAAATATCTATTCAAGTCTTTTGCCCATTTAAAAATTAATTATTTATTTTGTTGATTTTTTTGTTATGCAAAAGCTTTTTGTTTGATGAAGCGCATTTAAAATGTTTCTACTTTTGTTACCTTACTTTTTCATATCAGATCATCGACAAAAAATCACTTCCAAGGAAAATGTGAAGAAGTTTCCCCTTAGGTTTTCTCCTAGGAGTTTTATGGTTGCAGGTCTTATGTTTAAGTCTTAAATCCATTTTGAGTTGATTTTTTTTGTGTGTGTGTGTAAGAATCCTACTGGTGGGAGTGTAGACCAGTGCAACCACTATGGGAATCAATATGGTGATACCTCAAAGAACTAGGATTAGAAGTCCAATTTGACCCAGCTATTCCTCTGCTAGGTATCTTCACAAAAGAATTAAAAGAATCGTACCACAGTGATATATGCTCACCCATGTTTATGTGGCATAGTTTGTAATAGTTAAAATTTGGAAATAGCCTAATTACCCATCAGTGGGAGACTGGATAGTTTTTTTAAAAAATAAAATGGAGTACTACTCAGCCATAAAGAATGAGAAACTAGAGCTATTTATAGCTAAGTGGATGTACATTGAGGCCACAGTCTTAAGTGAAATTAATAGGTCACACATGTGTAAATACTGAATAGTTTCTCTGATGTGAAAAACTAAAAGTATAAATAAGGATCAAAATGTATAATTGATATTATATGTATACAGGAAGTAAAGGTCTAAAAGAGTAGAGGAAGTGGGAGGGGTAGGGGAAAGGCAAAAAGGGAAAAGAAAAAATATGTAAAAAGGAAAAACATGGAAACAATGTCTTTGTAAACAGGGAAGGGT